ATGTAATAACAACGGCTTTTATACACTTATATTACGTTTTTCGATTTTTATTGGTCAACTAGGTCTAAACTCAAATTTGGATATTTTTAACATAGATTAAATGTTATGAATTTGTTTCAGCGACTAAGAAGTCGAAAAGAAATTCGTTCTGAGAATAATCACATTAAAGAGTATGTGAATAATTGCTTGATCATTAAATATAAAATTAAAACATGACGAACCAAAGGAACGGTGCAAAATTGTCTAGTTAATGAATCCATGAACACCAACATAAGAAATCTTATACATACTAGTTTAATTACATAACGCAACATTAAGTTAATGGTAATTTGTTATAAAGTGTATTACTTTTGCTTTCTTCAACACAAAGTTGAATAATAGCGGAAAGATGTTTCACAGTTCATTTATTTGCATTGTGAAACAATTCAATTCAAAGCAAAGAACTTACTTTTGAACACAAATGATTCAAGGTTTAAAGTGCAGAAAATATTGGACATATAATATATCTTGTTAATATTTATAGAAATTCCCTTCTTTCACATCATATCTGTAATAAAATAGCATTTGAGAATTGTCTTGGTTTAAAAAAATCTGAAACTGTTGGCGATATATTTGACAGTCAAAATTATTACGAGTAAAACAGATGAAATAGAAATCTTAAATCTTAAAATAAAAAAGCCGAACATGGGAATAACTGAAAATGTTAAAACCTGGTTATGCATGAATATGTTCATGGTCAGTATAAACTAAATAAAAATTACGAAGTAAAAATGAAGGTGTCTTAAACAAATGAAACGGCTACTTACAAGTTTGGGATTTCTTCTTTAGAAAAAAAGTGCAATTGTTTTAATGCGCATGTTGTTATTAGTGAAGGCTTTTTTTTAAAGTTTCGGTGGCGGCTAAGGGCTTGACAGATGTTCCCATGAACAAAAAGAACCCAGGTGTCTTATTTGAGACTTGTACGCATTACCCTTAACATCATCATAGTCGAGTTGTTAGCACAAGTTAAAAGGATTTTTGTGTTTTATATATAAGTGGTGCCAAACAGGAAACACGTTTAAAATCGTTACAACACTTTTAGCTTTAACTTTACAAATTATCGCACCGTCGCGATAAGTTGTATCGCGAGTTATCGTACCACAGAACATTAACCACGAATTCAAATGACATTCTCATAGCCAATGCTTCTCGTATATAACAATATAGGTTACGAAAAATAATCTTATTATCGCTATTTGATAATTCTAAAAATGTGTACATGTAATAGAAAGAGCACCGAAACACGAGGCTATCTGATTTGTACGAGGGGGCGTAGCCCCCGAGTATTAATCAGATTGCCGAGTGTTTTGGTGTTCTTTCTCTTTTGTATCATAGTCAAACATAAAAGCACGTTCCCTGCTGTCACACTATGAAACCGCCCCTGCCAAAAATGAACCAATGAACGAACATCTGAATATGACATTTCTAATCGCTTTCCCGTTTCTCTGCCGTGCACAATATGTAAACCCACATGCAAAAATAGAGCCAATCAATGGGCATGCTCTGGAGTGCGGGTAACTAATACCCGCACTCCAGTTAACGCACTGTGCATGTATATGTATACGATTTAACCCTGACACATTTTCAACAGAAATGTCTCCAAACTATGATACAAGCTAGGTATAACGAAGTAAAATCTTTGAAACATTTATAGGAAAAGTGAACGTTTTATGTGAAGATATGATTATGATATCTAAAACAAGTGCATAAGTCATCAAAATATGTATTCTTAGTCATCGTACATATTTTTTATTTGTAATTTATGCATCGTAGCTTTGTACAGGAGAAAATAATTAGTGTAATTATCATGATTAATTATCATTTAGATAAATAGTGTCACACTTTGTCATTGGTACATAATATTTAGTGTTAAAATTAACAATTTATCTTTGAAATATCTCATATTTGTATATATTATCTGATTTATTATGCTATCAAAACGTTAGAATGTGACCAACATTATATATAAATTTGTTTAATGACTTCCATATATACTTAAGGACAATGAAAACGCACGCCCGCACTATATGCATTTTATTTCATGAAAACAAACCACTAACGACTCAAACCACTAACGATATATCATAACATTATTACAAAACGCAAACTTAACAACTGAAAATAATTTAAAGTATTTAAAATCAAATGTACACCAGACCATCAAAGTACCTAAGGTGAAAATCCCCAAATCACACTTTTTCATCACAGTAATGCAAACTTAACAAAGGCAAAAAAATGCAAAACAAAGTCACTCATATATGTCTATTCCACGACACAGTTATCCCTGAAACTTTCACCACGACGGCGATACACACGATGTCTACGGTCACTTAAGTCGACCATTACTTTGGTCTCTTAAAAAAAAATAACGCTGTCCCATATGTTTAAGCGACAACGGGCATGGGCGTTAGATCAGCATCTTCTTGCAAGTCTATTGCGTTGTAATAATGGTTGGCCACGGAAAGGCCTGTGACATCGAATACCAGCATCCCTCAAATATCGGCGAATGTTGTGAGCAAAGACCTGGAATAGTTGTAGCAGTTTCTGCTGGTCGTAAACCGTTGGCAATATGTACCAGGCAAACATTGATATATTGACATGTTGTCGTCACCCTCCGCAGGCCTGGTCTCCGTCAGTCGTTGACGGTGCCAGTAGTACACATTTAGCCAAAATTGTTACTTTTGGTTTTTCGGGTACTGTCTTAATTGCGCAATAACTTCATTACAATGCAATCTATTTTCATAATTTTGGTATCTAAATGACCGCAATGCATTTGGCTTAATCAAACTGTGAACAAATATTTATAAAATATTTGTTATCCTTGTTAAAATGCAACTATCTCGACCGTGCGTTTTCATTGTCCTTAAGTATATTAACGTTTCACATTATTAAGCAAAAATCTTTAAAATGGGTGCTCCGTCGCAATGTTAAACAACAATATTAAATGAAAATTGTGGACTTGGTTCGATTGATTTTGTTTATGAAAGATAATGTATAAGTGCAACATCTCTCACGCCCCTCTAGCACCGTCTAGCCTTCTCTACAATACCATGAAAATGTAATTACAATATTTACTCATATTTGTTAGAATTAGTATATTATGTTGTTATATACATGCACCGTGGAACCGTCTAATTGTAAATGATAATATCTGTCTAACATTGCTAAACAATAATTTATGAAAATGTATTACTACACTTAAATAATCGCAGAAATAATTTTCTGAGTTTATTTACTGGCAATAATAAAGCTAAGAAATTCTTTTGCACAAATATTCGACATTACTTACAGGTTCAAAAAATCAGAAATGAGAACCATGATAAATGTTTTATAAAATATGGTGATAATTGCGAACATTTTTCACTAGCTAAGCTATTTAACATCTGAAAATATTATTAAATGTTTTACAAGTAACCATAACACTTGTACGGACGGAGCTGATGAATACGTCTACGTCTAATACGATACGGCTTTCATTTAATTGCATAATATAATTTCTTTATAACAAATGTTTAATATACAAGTTTGGTCACATGACATGCTCAGGAAAATTAAGTAAACATGGCGTGGATATATGTAATACGTATAACAAGGAAAAATGTAACTATATGTAGTACGCTTGTATTTATAAACGTTCAGTGTCGAAAAACGAATATTATAACCCTTACTTCGTTAAATATCTTAAATAGACTTGTTAATCGTTAAAGCAGCATGCCTCTTGATTCATGTTAATTTTCATGAGTATTTTGAAAATGTGATTAAAAGTAAACAAAGATAGAACTTTACATATTGCAAATGGTACATAAAAGACCAGAAAGTGGTCAAATAGTCAAACATATCTATCTTACTGCGTAAGTCACGAAAAAATCAGTCATTAATCGCATATAACATGCAAATATCAGTGTTTTTTTCTAGTTTGTTTTCCTTGAAATATTTTGGCTGAACTGGAGGCATATACCTTTAATCCTTGACAAAACCATTCAGCATTTTCGGGAAAATATTGAAATATTTATTGACTGAATAGCGAGAATTACATATACAGGCTGATATTGGATTGCTTGGGTGAATTCAGCAGGCTAAATGTTAATGTACATGTATCTACAATAGAATAATTTTTGAACTATTCATGAATATAAACATTTGAATATTGTCTTAGATAGTTGACGGGAAAACGAAACATTATAGAAGCAGGACAAGACAAATTTTTTCTCTAATATAAAAAATGGTCAGCTAAAATTACATGTATACACTTATTTAAATAATTTTGCCATTGTGCGACATATTTTCAAATTGAACAATCAACGCTTTTTTAATGTAATAGCAGAAAATAATTAGCGTAATTATCATGTCTGAGATTATCTTTTGCAAAATTTTGTCAGAATTTGTCAAATACATGTAAAGTAGTGTAATGATTTAATCTACCGGTTTAAACAAACTTATCAAAAAATCTGATCTTTGTACACGTGTTGGAGAGACACGCGTTTCCTTGTTATGCTTAATAACCGTGAAATTGTGGAAATGTATATATATATATTTCGGTGTTAAAGATCATTATATTATTCACTTTGAATATTGAAGATTACATATGAATACAGCATTTAATAGCAAATAAAATATAAACATAGACATTTACCGAGAACAAAAAATTAAAGGTAAACAAAGTTAACTGAATTTGTTTTTTTTAAAACAATATGGTTAAAATATGCTTACGTACACTTAAATTAGCAAAATTCTTTTTTGATTTAAATACTTTTTTCAAGTAAATTCTAGTATATCTATTTGAAAAAGATGATTGTTTTTAAAATCGAAAAGTATTTTTCAAACATAGCATTTAAGCAATACAAATATGTATATAAAAAGACATAATTATTAAGATACATATTAATATAAAGATACATATATAAACTATGTGTACATGAATAAAATGTTTATTCATATTTGACATTTATTCATTTTTACAGATGGGTATACAAAATCATTGCCGCTTCGAAATTCCATTCATTTTCAATGGAAAGACTGTTATTCTGAAAGTAACGAAATTCTCAACGTGTGATGACGTCATCCACATGATTCTTCATAAATTCGGACAGCCGATTACAAAAGTCGCTTTATACGCCATGTACGAGAGAACTTTGTCTATGGAGCGGCAATTATCTGGAAGATCCTTGGTATACAAAGTCTGGAGATCTTGGGGCTGTGAGAGAAAACATTTTCAGTTTCTTATTAAATGTAAAGAAACTAAACTACAATTTAAGAGAAGTTTGAGCAGCACTTCATCTGAAAATGACATTGATGAACTTTTTCTAGATCACTATAATAAGAAGGCACAAATACTAAAGGAACAGGGAAAATCGACGGCTGATGTTAATCACGTTAGCTTTAGCAGTGAAGATCGAAAAACAACTGAAAATACTAAGACGACAAAAGGACAGCCGTCTTCTTCCAAGAGTAAAAAAGTATTTTTTGGACGTTTCATGAGCGATCTTTTTAAGCGTTCTTCGGTTGCAAGAACTAATCGGCTTATGAGTAAGAAACAAGGTGAAAGAAAATTAAAGGACAACGTTCATTGTGTGAACAATAGTAGAACGAGAAGTGCAAATATTACTGGAACAAATATTATGCATCAGATTCAGAGAGTGAGTCGGATAACTCATTTTCGGATACAGATTCTGAAGATGATTTGAGTTTTTATGACACTGAACCTGAATCCATGAACAAAGCATTTATAAAGAGTTCGCGTGATTCAGATAGTGATGAAGGTATCGACGTCACAAGTGTAAACTCTATAGATCTGGATACTGCTTTTATCGATAACAACAAATGTACCAGTGCTCTTGATATTATATTTGGACGTAGAACCCGAGATTGAATCCAAGTTGCTTGACGACAGTTATGATTGCGAAGTAAACATATTCGAGAAGAACGTGTCAGATAACGCCGTTTTTAAAGGAACTTTTTGGTAGAACATATAAAGAAACTGTGACGTCAGAGGATGATTGAAATGGACAGTTTTATGAGGTCCAGATTAGATTCATTTTAATGTTGTGAAGCTTCAGTTGTTACATATAAAATGTGCTATTTGTTATCTTCTAGTATTTATTTCGGAATCTTTTGTCTCGCTTACCTTTATTTACCTGTTGTTAAAAGAAAGTATTAAAATGAAAATGTTCACAATCACCTATGTAGTGTTTTTGTTATTGATTTTATGTTGCTCTATTAAAATCAATTTAATACATGAGATCGTCTCTAAATAGAATAGACATGGGAAGAGCTGCACTCGTCAAGGGCACATTTTCAATATTTTTTATAGCATATAATAACAACGGCTCTTATACATTTATATTACTTTGTTTCATTAATTTATTTATCAATTAGGTCTACCTTTAAATGTTGATATTTTCAACATATGCACAAATGTGCATATTGTGCATGTGCGCAAATTGGTTTCAGCGGCTAAACAAATCGAAGAAAACTCGTTCTGAGAATTATCACATATGTGAATAATTGCTTGATCATTAAATATAAAAGTCAAAAGTTAGAAATGAATCGAAAACTTTAGACAAGAGGTTAACAGATTATTTTTTACATCGAGGATTCTGAGACACACCCTTTTGCCTGAAGGACTGCGTTGTCCTTGGCGACAGAAGATAATTCTTACGCTGTTATAAGGTCTTTCTGACAATAAACCATGGACGTTGAACGAAAATTATGGTACACCAATGCTATATATTAGATACGCCGCCTGGAAAGAAACTGTCAATATGACTTAAAATTTGTTGTCGGTCATTTAACTGATGTCTGTCATATATGTAAGCTAGTCCCTCCCTTATTACTCCAAATAATTTAAATCAACCCGTTTTCTTGGCGGGATCACGTACTTTCAGTCATTTTAGTCATTTTTCAATGAATGGTGCAAAATTGTCGAGTTAATGGTTTCATTACCAACATCGTAAGAAATGGTTTACAGAGATTAATTACATAACGCAACATTAAGTTAATGGTAATTTGTTAAACAGTATTACTATTGCTTTCTTCATCACAAAGTTGAATAATCGCGCAGAGATTTTTCACAGTTCATTTATCTGCAGTATTAAGCTATGAACTTATTTTTAAACTCAAATGATTCGAGGTTTAACAAGTGAAAAAAATAAATATGGGACATGTACTTTATAAGATTTAATGTGACTTGTGTATATTTATACGAACTCACTTCTTTGACATCTGTAAAAAGTATTTAAATGAAAATTGTCTCGCTTAAAACGAAAATAAATAAGTAAATAAATAAATAAAAACAACCAGAACGCTGTAATTCTTCTATACAGTAAAACTAAATACCAGTAAAACGGATGGAACAGAAATCTTCAATCTTAAGAAAAAACGCAAGGCGAAAATGCATGTGTTCTAGGACAGAAGTAATGCAAACTTCAATCCATACCCTACTTGCAGCTTAAGCATAACATAATCACATTAGATTTAATGTTCCAAACATTGTTGCACATACGGAATCGAATGGAATTGTTTCTCGGTGGTCAGTATGATTTAAAAAGGAAACTGTTTACAACAAAAGTAACGTCTACTTAAATGTTTGGGACTTGTTCATAATTTGTTCTATGTTAATACATGTATTTAGTGAATGCTTAGGTCGGTGCTAGTGTCTTGGAAAAGGCAAAAAAAAAAAACAATTTAACAGAAACAGAGCTTCATAGCGGTTCTACCATTTCCTCAACATAGTCATAGTACGAATGATGCAAGTTTTAATGGATCTTTATTGCTGATTTATAAAGTGCAAACAGAAATCACTTATTTTTAAATTATTAACCAAGCAGATGGTTTCGTTTTTCCTTTAACTGACATTTATTGCCCACTCGGAATATTCAACATCGCTTTTACGGTTTACATAGAAGACTAATCGTGAATTCAATGATTTGTTTTAATTGATAATCTCAAAGCCAACGCTTCTTGTATAGATTACGTAAAATATTGTTTTTATCGCTATTGATAATTCTTAAAATGTGTACATGCTATGACTATCGAAGTAAAATCTCTGAAATATTTTTAGGAAAACTGAACGTTTTATTTACAGATAAATTGCAATATTTAAAACAAAAGTTCAAGACCATAAAATGTATTCTTATTCATTAACAGTAACCTTATCATCATGCAGATTTTTTAAAATTTATAATTAACGTATCGTTGTTTTGTACAGGAGAGAAAGTAATTATTGTAATTATCATGTTTGATTAGTATCATTATTATATATGATCATTGTCACACTTTGTCACTTGTACATAATATCTAGTGTATTTTTTTTAGATATATCGATATCTTAGAATATCTAATATTTGTATTCATTAATTGTATCATTGTATCTGATTAAATACTGCTATACAAACGTCAATATGTGACCTACATTATATATAAATTTGTTTTAGACTACCATTATACAAATGTAACTTTCACATTGCCAAACTGTTAAACTGAAAAAAGAACAATCTGAAAATGGTTGAACCCTCAGCAATATAAACAACAATATAAAATAAAAATTCCAGACTTTGTTCGATTCATACGTGATGAAAACGTGTTCGTCTTAAATGATACGGGTAGCATTATATAGCATATTATAATTTCTTTTAAACAAATGTTCGATATATAACTTGGGTCACATGACATATTCAGTGAGATTAAGTAAACATGGCTTGGATATATGTTTTATATACGTATAAAAAGCTTAAAAGAAACCACACACAATACGCTTGAATTTATAAACATTCAGTGTCGAAAAACGAATATTATAACCCTTACCTCGTTAAATATCTTAAATAATAGACTTGTTAATTGTTAAAGCAGCATGCCTCCAGATTTATGCAATTTTTGTCATGAGAACTTTGATAATGCACTTAAAAGTTAAATATTATAAAGTTAACAAAGACAGTATTTTACATATTGCAAAGGGTACTAAGAAAGACCAGAAAGAGGTCAAATAGTCAAAGATATCTCTAACTGCGTAAAGACAAGTACATCGAAATCATAGATACATTAATCGCGCATCATATACTATTGTATAAATCTTCATCATTGTTCATACAACGTTGATAATGCATTGAGAGATATTTGTACGGATCCTGGAAACGGTATGACAATTACATAGCATGATACCGTAAACTCGAGACTCACTACAATTGGGGATATTTCGAGAATCTATTCTGTAGGATCTTTGAATAAGCGAGAATGCCTGGCTTCATCATAGCGCTCCGTTGATTTGGTATGGGCGAACTTTCTGCCTGAGGCTACAGATCGTAACGATCTACAAACAGCTTATTATTAAGATAATATCGTCAGGCTGGGATATCGTAAACGAACTATGGACAATACTTTACATTTAAAACTTGATAGCGAGGGAAAATAGAATACATTATAAAGCATTTGCAGAGAAACGATATCTCTCCATGTCTCAAAGAGATAAAACTAAAGTCGGTTCAGCTAAAATAGCACAATGCTATACATAGCTGAGTTACATTAACATCTTGGCACCGTTGCCACATTATTATTCATAGATATTATGCAAGATAACGACTTCTCTTATAATAAGTGAACGAATGTTAACATACAGAGTCAAAATAATCGCTATTAGATTATTCATTGTCTATGATTATCTTTTTAACAAAATGTTGATACGAGATCTCTGTCACAAGCATTGTCCAGTAGCTCGATTAGATGACGGTCTCCATATCATCTGCCGTTTAAAACTGCTGATCTTTTAGACCACCGTGTTGGGAGAGAGCACACCGCCTTACGCCCGCAATTGTTAGTGCTACAGCCATTGAGCACAGTTTATAGACCTATTGTGGAAACCCTATTTATAGAATATATTTCATCCATGTGTTAAAAGATCTGCATTCATATATACTTTCGATATCTGTACAAGGTAATCTTGATAGACTTACGCGATAATATATATGGCAGCATTAATATTAGCAAATAACATCGTATAAACGTATAGACACGTCAACGAGACATGCAAATAAATATGGTATAGGCTAATAAAACAACGGTTTGACTAAATTTAAATTTTTAGCAGTATTGTTTAAATACGAGCGTCATCATTGCGTAACACTTGAATTTTTAAATAAATAATTTTTTTATTAAAAGACCATTTTAAGTAAATTGTAATATACTTTTTTTTTTTAAATAATTGTTTTCACAATCAAAAATAAAGTATTTGAAATGTATATTTAAAAGATATATAAAGATACCATTAAGGCACATATTAAAGATAGATGGTATTTAATCTCGCTACGTCTCAGATAAAATATGTTTCTCATATGATATCTATTGGCATTATTTTAACAGAGTATACAAGATCCACTGCTCGCTTTATCTCGAATAATTCCATATCATTTTACATATGCGAAAGACGTCATTCTCGAAATAACGAAAGTCTCAACGTGTGATGACGCTCATCCACATCTAGACTTCGTCATACAAGATGTCGGCACAGACGTTTAATCTAAAATTGCGTACTATACGCCAATGTACGAGAGAACTTTGCTATGGAGCAGAGCAATTACTGAAGATCGCTTTGGTATACAAAGTCTGGAGATGTGGGGCGTGTGAAGAAGAACATTGCAGGTGCTCTCAACTTACAGATAAATGTGAATGAAACTAAGTAAAGAATAATGAGAACGGTTAGCGTTGGCAACACTTCGAATCTGAAAATGACAATTGCACTGCAACTGTTATTCGAGGAGCACATAATAAGAAGGCACCAATTACTTAAAGGAACAGCCGAAATAATCGAACATACTGATGTTAATCCGTTTAGTTATAGCTGGTGGGATCAAAAACAACTGAAGTAGATGACTAAGACGGCAAAAGGACAGACACGGCTTCTTCAAGCACGTCAAAACATAGTTTTTTCCCGCCCCGTCTGATCGTTGCGATTTTGATGGTTATTCTTTTCTCGAAACGTTTCTCTCCTGTATGCACAACCAAAAACTTATGCGAAACCGATAATGCAGGTGAGGTAGAAAAGTAAAGACAAAGATCAGTACCGTAAACAGCGGGGCCGTACACGATAATGACACAGATAGTTTCTCAGCCATCGAGAAGTGCAATATCTACTGCCGAACAAAATATCTACGGCATCAGATTCAGAGAGTGTCGGATTACTCATTTTCGAATACAGATCTGAAGATGATTTTGAGCTTTTATGACACTGAAACCTGAATCCATGAACAAAGCATTTATGAAAAGCTCACGTGATTCGGATAGTGACGAAGGTATTGACGTCACAAGTGTAAACTCTATAGATCTGGATACTGCTTTTATCGATAACAACAAATTTACCGCTGCTCTTGATATTACATTATACATAGAACCTAAGAATGAATCCAAGTTGCTTGACGACAGTTATGACTGCGATATAAACATATTCGAGAAGAACGTGTCAGATAACGCTGTTTTAAAGGAACTTTTTGGTAGAACATGTAAAGAAACAGTGACGTCAGAGGATGATGAAATGGACAGTTTTATGAGGTCCAGATTAGATTCATTTTAATGTTAAGAAGCTTCAGTTGTTACATATAAAATGTGCTATTTGTTATTTTCTATTATGTCTTTCAGAATCTCTTGTCTCGCTTACCTTAATTTTCTAGTTGCTTTATGGAAACATTAAAATGCTGTCCACAACCAGCTCTAGTGTTTTTGGTGTTGTTTGTTGTTGTTGTTGTTTTTACTTTAATTTGCTTCAAATTTTGACTTAAATACATATAAAGGATTCCGCCTCTGAGAAGATATTAGTGGCTTTATAGCCGATAATGGCCACGCTTGTCATATCACTTAGCATCTTTACAATACATTACAAAGGTATGCAAAACATCGTAATAACACATAACAAAGGTATAATTAATAACAAAGGTATGTATTCATGTAATTTTATTAGTTTATTCGATATATAAATATATACATAAGTTCGTAAAACAATCTTTTACATTGCGTCATCCGAAAACCTTGTTGGAATTTAATAAAATTTAGAGGCGCGCCGAGGTGAACATTTTAGCTTAACTGCCCTGTTTATTTACAATCTATTTAAAAGATATTTCTCGGTGAACAATATTTTAATCAGCATCACTATCAAGAATGCTTACCACGACAAGGGTATTGCTCATTTTCTTGTATCAAATGTCACTATCCGAAGTGCAGATACTTTTGGTATTAATTACAGCTGATTTTTTCATTTTATAGACTTATCAGTCTATATGGAATTGCATTAACATCAAATATTATTTTCCTTTACAGACTTAACAGTTTATCTGGAAGCGCATTAACCTATGACAATACCTTCCTGTACTGCTAAGGCAACACGTCAACCTAAAGGCATGTTTAACGTTACTGATTAAACAGTTAAGGTAGAACGCGACACTTTGCGAACTTTCGAGTAGCGTCTTGAAAATTGACATGCAAAAAGTTGACCATATTTCTGATTAGGTTCCGTTGATTTTATTTTAATAGTTTCAGCCAATTTTTGTACACACGGCGTCAAAGTTGACCATCAAAGCCCGTTTTTGAACATGCGTATCCTTGGCAACAGTTGACCATATTTCTGATTAGGTTCCATTGATTTTATTTCAATAGTTTCAGCCAATTTTTGTACACACGGCGTAAAAGTTGACCATCAAAGATGAAGTCGTTGCGTATCCTGGGCAACAGTTACGGGTATTTCAACGCCATTGACGGACAAAATATCTTAAATTCTACAGCATTCGACGGAAATTATTTTTTCCTTTAAGCTGATATAAAATTTATCGTTTTACGCCGAAAAATATTTGAAAAATGGAAAGAAAATGGTCAATTTTGTGTAAAATTTCACGTTCAGTTTACCCGCATTTTTCGGCTTTAAAGCGGCTTATTGAGTATAAAGAAGCGCGTCATCCTCGAATCATTTTAACTTTACTGCTTAAACAGTTTATATAGAAGGGCGTAAACCTCAAGACATTGTTACTTTACTGATTAAACAGTTTATAACCTCAAGGTATGTTTAAATTCAATGATTAAACAGTTAATATAGAAGCGCGCCAACCTCAATGTATGTTTTAATTTAATGATTGAACTGTTAATATAGAAGCGCGAACCTCAAGACATTTTTACTTTACTAAATCAACAGTTGATAAAGACGCGCCAACCTCAAGACATTTTTACTTCACTAAAACAACAGTTAATATAGGAGCGCCAATCTCAGGACATTTTTACTTTACTAAATCAACAGTTTATATAGAAGCGTGCCAACCTCAAGACATGTTTACTTAACTAAACAGAACGCGTAAACCTCAAGGCTCTTTTACTTATATAAAAAAAGTGCATGATCTTTCTTTACATATAAAAGTTATATTGATGCGCGGAAACCTTAAACTTAATGTTCTGTCACATATGAAACAATTTCTCTTCAAGGAGGCTTTACCAAAACAGTTTCAAGCATTTTTGTCCAATTTAATTTGATAAATAAAATAAACACATTTATAAAGTTTCTTTGTATCTATTTATTTCACTTTTTGCTAAATGAGGTTTAGAAACAAATTTAAACATATCAGATAAAAATAGTTCTTTAAAACGTAGCTGCTTTGTTGACATCTCTTATAAATATGTCTTAAAAAGTTAAAAGAGTTAAAATATAAATGACGCAATTGCTTTAAAGACTGCAATTTCAATGAAATCTTTTTTAATAATAATAAAAAAGAATCAAAGATAAAAAAAATATTACCATTAAGATTTTTCATATAAACTCATCAGATAACAATTTGATGGGTTTATACATAGAGACAATCCATGAAATCTCTTATTCTTTGCAGTGATGTTCAAACAAATGTGAATTGTTTTAATGAGTAAGCAAACATCGTGGTGTGGATGTGTGGATAGAACTTGTCCATGTTTTCTTGTAAAGTCATTCTCATCAACGCGCGTCATTCAGACGGATGGTTTTATTGATAAGACAACATAAACAATCATGTACATTATAGATATCAGAGCCATTTCTTTGAAGACATATTCTTATGAAATAAAAGAAAATAAATAACCAATGTATTGTCTTATTGTCTGAATGTCAGCTCTTTTAAAATTAATTTTTCACAAGTTTTCTTGAAATTGTACGTTTTTGCAATAAAAATTACAAATGTGTCTATAAACATATTTTTTGAGGTATTCTTTTAAATATACCAGCATCTATAAAAGCATCATGATATTTATGTTATTTAAAAAGGTCATGACTTTATTACGTATATTTTTTCTTCTGGTTTATCTGGAAAAAGGCCGGATAATCAAGGATCAAGCATGTTTATAACATATTTAACAGTTTCGATTCAATAGTAAGTGTGATACCAACATCTTATTTATACACGTATATAAAAAAACATCTATATACATGTATATCAACATCTTTATACATGTATAAGATGATTTTCCATATTGCAGTTCATGTATATCCTTAGAATATAGCGTTTCAAAATTGTAGAATTAAAAGAAATTTCATTTTATATTTGATATCACACAAAAACACTCAATTCAATTATTAAACAATGATCACATTCTTGTTTTAAATTGCTTGCTTCCCGTTAATATAGTTTTGTTTTTAGGTTAAGAAAACATTTCTGTTTTTTTTTCTTCAAAGAATAGATAAACGGAAAATGAAAAAAAGAGGATTTTCTGCCGTTCTTTAATGTTCATTTTAATGCACCTTTATATGTGCTGCAAATGATGTAGAACGAAATGCTCGTGCTTATCACTTGCGTCCGTAGTCAAATTCATCCGCCATTGATTCTCGGTAACGCTTCCTCAGTAACTGAAAATAAAAACAGGAAATTATGAAAACAAAGTATTTAATCGAGTTAGTTCATATATTGTACGTTATTAACATTTAAAGTGATGTCAAGGTTGTATATTTCTGATCGCTCAAGTTTTATTATCCCTTTTTAAGATACGCTATAATGTGTTTAAATGCTTATGAATTAATACACGTATAGAAATGAAAAGATAAAATACAAAATTAGAAAAATAAAGTTCACAAGCCTATAGACCTTTACCCAACTTAATATCTTAAATGGGCATGTGCGTCTTTCAATTTTGACAAGACCATTCATCAGTTTTAATACATGCAAGTACTGATTTAATAGCGATCAGTACATATCTTGATCAGACGACACAGAGGTCCGGCTTATCTTGGCCTGCACTGGTCGCAATGGTATATTGAGTTGCCACCAGCAGGACAAGGGTAAATTGTGCAGTTATACACCATGCTTGTTAATGTGCAGTTATACACCATGCTTGTTAATAATTTAGTTCCAGTCTAATATATTCAAGATATGCTAACATTTACTTTCAGTATTTATCATCATTTTCTAAATCCTTTTATTGAGGAAGTTAAGCTTAATATATGTGCATTGTTTTGACAAGTTAAAGTTTTTTATTTTATTAATTAATTAATTAATTTATTTATTTATTATTATTATTATTATTATTATTATTATTATTATTATTAGTTGTGTGAATTAAACCGTCTATATCCAGCTTGAGTATAAATATTCTCGTACTGGTGCCAACGGATTTTCTCATGCAAACATTGTTTTCTACTTTTTTTTCTCAGAAATTTTCCAAAGTAATTTAATTCATCGTTTTATTTTCTCGCAAAGAGCTAATATTTCTGCCATTTAAATAAAAATGTTCATAGTTTTAAATCGATATATCGGAATACGAGAATATGAAAATCTTAATCTATTTTCTTCTCTTGGTTATTCAAGTGAAGCCTAGAGCACATCATGATAAAGACATCTTCGGCTTTCTTATTTATCGTTTTATAAAAGTTAATCTTCAGTACAATGAACTACTGTAGAATTAATTATAAGGGATTGTTTCAATATATTTCTGTATAGTGTAATAGTTTCTTTGCCTTTCGCAGACTGCGCATGCGCCGGGTAATATACTTTTCGGGCAGGGCACATAACGACAAATGACGTCATTTTGTTGATATAACAATACTTGTATACGCGAAACGTGTTGACCTTGTGGTAAAATTGTTGTTTCTCAATCTAGAATTCGTGAATTCGAGCCCTACTTGAGCCACGACAATGATTCCTATGACACTATTACATGTATTGGGAAAAATGACGCGAAAAAAGATGGAAAATTGTACAATCAAGAGCTGCTAGCTAAACAAATATGTTTACAATTTACAAAAATTCTTACAGTTATAATAGTGCCTAACTTCTGAAAAGCTTATTCTTTTGTGTATGTACTTAAATACGCAATCTATAGTGTTATTACAAAGCACAGAGGATACTACAAAGATCTTAATCTAATATAAATACCAGTTACTTAATTACTAAATTAGCTCATCATCTTAAATTCTTTGAAAATAGATTATGTCTGTATACTCTACTCTTTAGATGTATTTGGTTTTATATCAGAAGTAATTTCCATTCTAGCTCCCCCAAGTATACTAATGTCAAGATATCCATTATCTTTTCTCGAATTATTAAGCAGATATGGATTATAAAAATGGTATTTAGGAAATTGGAATCACATGAGAAAATCACGTGACTTGCACACAGAGAGCAATTTGTCAAACGGCACATAGGCTCTTGAAATTTGTTATATACAATGTTCGATAAAGGGATTTCTGTCATTATATATTTGTCCATAAATGCACATAATCGTATAAGCAATCCCAATAGGCGAAAATAAAATGGCAGTCTCTGAAAATTATTACTTTTATAATTTTCTCTTTATTCCCTCTACAACAATGAAATGAAAGAGACAAAATTAATGTAGACTTTTTCATAAGGTAAGGTCAGTTTAGAATATATTAAAGCTACATTTATTTGAAATACAGTATAATGTAATGCGCACTATGAAGAACGTGTCTAGGCCTAAAGTGAGATAAGATAATATCTAGCGATATAGACCGATGTACTTTAACGACATGATGATCCGATCCAATTCTAATACAACGTACGATAGGAAAACACAAATTATTCGAAGTAACTGTCAAAACACAGTCGATAGGGACCGGCTTTATTATACAGACAACAGTAAAATAGACGGACACTCGACGAGAAAAGATAAAAAGACGATAAGGGACGACACGAACAATAATGCACGGAATGTCAGTGAGGATTTAAGCGTTATATTTCATTTCACCTTAAAATACTGAATTTTATTTATCGGATTAAAAAAAAGATATTTAAAGCACCTTCATACAGAACTTTACTTCGCTGTAGATACACTAAGTCTAGACGCGATAATTTGACTAATATTGGGGAATAAGACTTAAATAAGCAGCTAATAAATTTTGATAAAATATTTGGAGACAAAACAAGTATCATCATGATACATTCTAGTTGAAATCCTAAGCAATTTAGGGTGAACTAATCCGATAGCTAGACATATAGATACATTATTGAAACAATATTAGACATAGAATACATTACACTGTAACATACTGTCGAATTTGTAAAATAGATGTACCCAGTTTGGAGATTGTAGCAGTACATTTGAAGTGCAAGTGAGTTTAATATCAAAATTCGAAATTTAAGCTGGAAAAGGTATCAAGCCTGGTAAGACAGCATACATATTCGAGCTGTCCTACCATTATACTGGTGGCAAAGGTTAATAATTTTCGGATATGGCAGATTAAATTTTATTATATTTATACAATAATGAAAAGTGGAATCTCTAAAGAAAAAATAGAGAAAATATGAATCCATAAAGAAAGCCCTGAACGGCAAAATTGAAAATGTTGCAGACCTGGTTTGATTGAGCCGTGACGGTAGTTGTAATTGCAAGCTACCGTCCACAACCCTACTCCTAACACCGCCTTAAGCAGAATTCAACATTTAACACGAACTGTTAAAGTCATTTTCATTCAGTAATAAGTCTAGCACAGGAGCAAATTGTATTTTTACAATAAACAAACAACGTGAAGTTAGTTATACTTTAAATGGAAAACAAATTTATTATAAAAAGCAGCTTGAAACTTAAAATGGATAACAAATAACTATGAAACCACAGCTTGAAACTTTAAATGAAACGGAAAAGAAATGCATGGCGAACATAAGCAAACAATACAATAAATGTAAAATAGATATCAAGCAGGGACAAAATGTACTTTTAATAAATAACAAATAACGAACAGCGATAATATGATACTTTAAACGAAGAACACCTAGCTGGTAGCATCAAAGTGTATTTTTGAATGAAAAACGAACATCGTAGTAACATGAAACTTTAAACGAAGAACAAATAGCGAGCAATAGCAAATAGGTTATTAAGAAAATGACAGCAAAAACCAGCCGCATCAATAGAAACGTATACGGATGTTTTTAAACTCAAATTCCTTTTTTAAATGTTAAATCTGCTTAAGACGGTGCTAGTGGAGGGGGGCATATACAGTAGCTTGCGCGTGCCACCACTGTCTGTGAACAGGCACCATCACACCACCATCAATCAGAGTCTGTAACATTTTGGGCGTTCCAAAAAACATTTATTTGACAAATTATATTTTACAAATATTTGCTTACCAATTCTCCAAGCAATGTTTTAACTTTTTCTATATCTTGATCTCTATTGAATGATGCGGGGACGTCGGGATATAAACTGTCTACGTCCTCTAACACAGGTACACTGTCAAATTGCGAATCTGATGCTAAATTTTGTGGTATTTTATCCGACAATAATAATTGACGTAAAATGTACTGTCTCTCTTTTAGCTTTGAATCTGTGTCTATTTCTGGGGGTCCTGATCTTTTACCGTTCCCTGAAAACATATATTAGAAAAAAGTGACATTCTGTTTTGTTTCCGATCTGAAAATATATATCAGAAAGAAGTGATATTTCTTTTGTTATTCGACCTTCTTTTACCGTTTCATGAACACTAATGCTACAAAAAAGTGACATTCTAATGTGTTTATTTCTGGTGTTCCCGATTGTAAAAACATATACATGTATATCTGAAAAAGTGACATTCCGAACCGGAACCGAAGCAGTGAGTTAAGAGCATTATTGTTTTAACTATAGGTTTAAGAATTCTTTCAACAAGTGCGTTATTGATGATTATGAAACTGACTACAAGACCGGGAATTATAAAAAACCCTGACATTTCTACAAAGTAATTTCTTGTACTAGTTTGGACAACATACGTAGAAAATGTTTCAAACTGCAAAACTTGTTTGATTAATATCGTTCAAACTCGTAACCTTTGATAAACCACTAAATATTTATTTAACTCCTTTATATATTTATGGAACGTTCACTGATTTGGAAAACAGTAACAGCATAGCGAATGCATTTTTAATTAAAATGTATCTTATATATCCATGATGTAAAGCTATACTGTACAAAATAAATCAAACTAAATGCCATTAACATAACACAGAATGACCTTCACCACATTTGGTGTGGATAACTATCAGTTAAAACAATCATTCACTTCTTAGACAACTTGTTTGAAATAAGCAATTTATCTCATTGATATAGCCTATCTCTCATTTGGTTGTTTTGGCAATTCCGAAGATAGCTAATAACCATTTACAAGGAGGATAGGGGGTATTTATCATCGTTAAAAACGTCAGATAATTTGCTTAGCTGTCTGTGAAGGTTTATTATCGTACTGTTTAAATGTCTTCACCCTTTGTCTCTGCAAAATGATGTTGGGGTAAGAAGAAAATTCAAGGTTTGATGTAAGAAAAAAGCTTAAAGCTGAAGTTTGAGACTTTAGATTAACCATTTTAAGGAAAAAAGTCATCTATGTTTAACATTCAATATGACACGAGTCTATGAAAAGAAGGAAATAGTATAATATGTAAATCCGTACTGTTTGTTTCTTATGAAGCATTCACAAAGAATAAAAGAAAATAAGTATAAAGAAAGAAAAAAACAACAAACACCAACAAAAAATTAAGAATCAGTTTAATCACTTCCTAGATGTGAAATGATAATCACACCCTAGATGTGAAATTAAATACCAATACCGTAATGATCATGACTTGGTTTATGATTATCTTCCATTTTAAAATAACTCTATACATTTTGAATATTATGCATATCATTTCTCAATATATTAAACAATATATTAAACCGTTCAAAAAAGATATTCGCTAAACAAATTGTTATGGGATTAAGCATTATTGTCAACTAATATTAACAAAGAAATTAAATACGATATTTTGCAAACGTAGAAAAATGGAATTTAAGTAAATGGTTCATTAGATATGTTACAATTACGAGAAGTGTAAATTCAAAATTTTACCATTTCATGTTAAATGTTGAATACTACTTAAGTCGATGCTAGAGGGCGTGGACGGTAACTTGCACTTTCCATTACCGTTTATGAACAGGCTTAATCAAACCAAGCCTGCAACATTTTCAATAATGCCGTTTCCTTAGGGATCCTTTATTTCTTTCTATTTTATTTTTTCTTTCTTATTTCTTATAAGCGTCTAATTGTCAATGAACAAAAAGTAGGGAAAAGACTGAATCTATTCAGTTGCAAAACATAGGAACTCACAATAAAAATGACTGAGCTATATGATGATGTAGCAGACTTCTGGGTGACTAGATTACAGAAATATTTCGCCAAAACCTACTTATTGAAATAACATTACAAAAATCACCGTAAATAATTTTGACCCATGTCATTGTATGTATGTCCAAAAAGAATTTATTTTATTGCAGTTACTTCAAAAAAGATAACCAAAACATTACGGTTCATAAAATATTTAGGAATACATAATATGCCCCAATTAATATAATATATACCAATGGAGAAGTTTTATTGTGACTTAATCTGGACAGAAATTTGGAAACGCAGTTTTAGTTGTTTTCTTTTATAGTTTGTTTTTTGTACAACGTAAGTTTTTGTACTTGCATGTGCATATTCAGTTTATGTAAGTAATGGAACTAAATTTATAATTAAGCTATAATTATAAGAAAAAAGAAAAACAACCCCCAAAACACCTTAATATGAATATAATTATAATACCCTCTGTTATGTATTTTAATTGAAAGCTTAACATATTCAGATATGCTTGAACCTAAGTTATCATTTCTTTTTTGGAATGACAGTGACCCCTGTTTATCTAAAACTGCACAGACGAACGAGAGACAGAAAAAGAAGAATAGAAAAAGAAAGAAGAAGATAACAAACACGCCATCAAGAGAATGGTCATTATTGTATTTCAAATACATTTGTATAAAAGGCAATTTAGGGCCACTGTAATTTGTCTGTGTAATCTACATACTGTTCATTACCTAAACAAATAGATCTTCTCCTATCTCGTCATATAATCGTGATGTGAAAAAACATCAATCTCTTCAAACAGATAGTTTTCCAATTAAATATTTCCATCAATCATTTTAAAATTGCTAAGATGTACCAATGTTGTGTATTTTTAAAATACTAGATGCGTAAGAAAACGAATTCTTTACACTCATATCATTTTTCTTTTAATTTCAAATTAATAATTCAATTTCTGTTTTACGATCCCTTCAAATTTTAGAAGCAAATTTGAAAATATCCATATAAATTTGGTTCTAGCTTTTTGTACAGAAGTGCGCGTGATAAAACATTAAATTGAATTGTGTTTTGTTGCAAGAACGGGAATCTAACCTAATGATTTTTAAATCTGCTTTTATAAACATTAAATACTATTATAATAATATTGAGCTTGTGAAATATTTGAATAATAATAAAATATGTTTTACTAGAAAGTAGAAGTGTTTTTTCTCTCAAAAAGTATGACATATGTTCATTTTTTCTACAATAGCATTTTACATAAACACTTGATGATAACTCAAATAAAAACATTATTCAATTACAAGTGTATGAGTAATAAAGTAACGCTATATATTGTTTTCAAAAATAAAATATAAATGAACAAACAAATTTTAAATCTCTACAAACAGGAAATAGAACGCATGTCATGATGCAGAACATATAAACAAACGCCTAAAACATTGATAAATCTAGCATTAGATTCTGAGAGCGATTACAAGATAAGATAAAAAAAAGTGTCACTTGAAATTTATAATTTTAGTTTTCTTTCTAATAAATAAAGAAAAGGAACAATTTAAATTATAAATCAACAATTACTTAAATAATCATCGTGAAATGACTGATATAAAACTAGAAAATGTTAATATTTCACCAGTGACCGATATCCGCCATTTTGTTTCTATGTAAACGAACTTCTCATATACTTACGGAAATGAGGCGCTTAAAGGGAAAAGTCGTTGACACCATATATAAAAATATTAAACATAGCGTGTCAGGCAATGAAAATTAAAGACATAAGTATACATGGCGTTTTTATAAATTCTTATATTACCCAATAGAATCACCACGACTTACTTGTAAAATGAAAAGGCTAAGAAAATTATGAAATATATTTTATAATTCGATTTTAACGATGTGCAATAATGTCTTTATTTTGAAAATGACACCAACACAGATCAGAAATATCAGATTCCTTATGCACGGTCTGTTCCTAAATTAGATTTGTTAAAAGTATCGATTAGATCTTTCAGTAAACAAGATATGATAATGTTGCCATTCAATGCGAAAAGAACAATTACAGTGAACTTTGGTTTACTTTACATTCAGATTTTTTTATATCAGTTACTATTTACACTTGCGGAGAACGATCAACTGATATATGTAAAGTGAATTAAACTGTTGCCATATCCTGAATCACGCTGGTATCTGCGATACCTGATAGACTGATCACAATAAAATCATTGTTATCTCCAGATGAAAAAGACAAAAGTTCTACATTTAGAAAATGAAAAAATAGTTTCCCGGCACGTCTATAGGGCTCGTTAATCGAGTTCTTTTACCTAAAGCTCAACGATTAGTCGCAATTTTGTTAACCAACTTACCATTGCAAAATTTTATAGAAACATATTTAACGACCAATATCAATTTTCTCGTATGTCAGACTTCAAAACGAAATGCTTTTCTTGTATCTAATTCCGAACAATTTATTGCTTCTATTATGCCAGTGTTTGTCATTCAGACATTACATCATAAGTGCAGTAGATCAGAAATCTATTTTGCTGTTCATCTACTTTTATTACAGAAAGGCTAATTTTTATACCATAAACAATATTGTCATTCGAAGTAAAAGATTTGATATCAGAGATAGGTACAGCCCTAATATCTCTGTCTTTATATTGCCATGGGTAATCAAATACAGACCTCGCTCATAATTTGATTTTCAAGAATTGGACAATCGCCTACAATGAACGTCAGAATGTCTAAATATTATTCTTTTAGATTATCCCCATACACTGTATCGTGAAGTAATGAATATTTGGGAGTGTAACAGAAGATCAAGGGACCAATTGATCTTTATTTTGATAGATTGAGGATTCAAAAATTACTGTTTTACTACTAAACTTAATTCGCATCACAAATGTGCTCGAACGGAGGCTATCCTAGAAGCTTTAGTGTCTCATTCTCGTGTTATTTAATCCCGAATTGATAAAAACATCTTGTGTCACCTTACACAAAAACGAACACCCCTTCCCCGCAAAAAATATATATATTAATAATAAATAAAAAAATGGCAAAACTAAATTAATCCGAACTTTGATAAAGACACACGGATAATTGTTCCTACGTATCATACATAGATAGCAGTCAAAATACAAATTAAAAGCAAAAACAAAACATGAAACAGATCATAAGCGAAATAGTAATGTAATCATGCAGGAATATGGAAACAATTCGTACAAAGATTGCAGTATTTATATAAGGTGTCTCAAAATAACTTAATAAATTATAAACAATCCAATTCCTGCATTAAAATAATGGCCTGGATTTTCAATAGCGCACATATACTTAAAAAACCAACACTAAGATGCTTTTGCAAACGTAGAATATAGGCATTCATCATATTTCCTATTTTTAATGTCTCCAATTGTTTATGTTTTGTTTGAGACAGATATTTGGTCATAAAAATAAAGGTTTGTTATTTCATGTCAAGGTTATACTGAAAAAAATGATACAAATAAGATACATTTTGTATTGTATATCAATCAAAGTGAGGGTCAAAGTTCAATTCGATCCTAATATCTCCAGACATCAATACCGAAATGAAATTAAAACGAGCGTGAATGGAGGAGTTCTGACGCCTGTACTGTCTATGGTATAACGATTGAGCGGCGGCTGAAACAACGGTATAGATTGTCTGTCTAAAACAATGATAGTGAACATGAAGAGAGCAAATCCAGACCGTTTGAAGTATAAACAATATATAGATTTGCATCATAGTATAATTTGACACTGAATGGGTGATGGGCTGATCAGGAGTACGCCTGTTTAATCTGAGAAGTTAATAGCTAGACCTCTATTGCATAAACAAAACATTATCGTTATCAGCAGAAACAATCAACTGGTCGAATATAAGATGAATCAATGCCCAAATTTGTCAGATAAAATGATTTAATGCTGGCCCATAGACAACGTTATGAAATATCATTTTGATCGATTCAGTTTAGACAGGCACGTCTGTAGAAAGACATTCTAATTTAGATACTGCATTAGTTTTTGGACATAAAGTAATAGATCTTACAAAAATAATCTGCATTAAACGATCATAAATACTCTGTAACGCTGTATTGATAAAAGTTCAAAGTTCATTATTTTGCAAAAAGGCTTAGACAACCTATTCAATTATATGAATGTATATATTGTTTTGACAAGACTGGATGCCTTGATGAAGATTTCAATGTGAATGGTATTGATATATCTTTAGTAGAAACACAATCCTTTATTTGCAAAACAAGCAAAATGACCTAAAGACGAGATTCTTATGCAAAGATCTAAGTCATTCGTTGCAGAAATATATGGATACAGAAAATTAAAATAGCCATTTGAAATTTTGATAGAAATATTTGAAGTGCATAGGTTCAAAGAACTGAAAGCAATTATAAAATATTTGCCCTCGGTTGTCTATTTTTCTTTTGATTCTCGCAGTGAGTATTAGAACGCAAGCAAAATCTCTCCATATTGAGACAATAGGAAAACGATTCTAACATGTTCTATTTTTAAACCATCAACAAAGTTTAGTAAACCTCTTTTTAAAGTTGTTACACGATGCCATGTCATAAATGTGCTACACGTGTGTTTTTTTTAAATTAATTAAACACATAACACATTTTCAAACTCTTTTTATCAAAATTCAATACAACTCAGATTTACTTATTTTCATTGAAATAATATTGTCATAAATTATTTATTTGAAATTACACACAACATTGTTAGCAAAATGAGATAAAAAATGGAATATGTATTATCAAATTAAAGTGATTTTAATATAATTATGTGTGTTTGTAAAATATTGTCTTAACTTAAATCTAATCTTGTGGCTGGTGACATTACCAGCAAAGAACTAGTGTATTTTAATTATAATTCTGAGATTTCTTCTGTTGAAGTTCTGGTAATATATCTTAACAATATTTAATATGGGAATAACACATTTGTACAAAAAAATTATATCCAATTATTTTAAATTCCTTTTAGGTAAATACAATTTCTTTTTGTACAACGTTTCTACGTAGACTGTATATAAAATGAAAAAAACTTATCAGGCGTTATTATTTACGGGCTATTTAAGGTTTGTAAATTGTTTCTTATATTTGTATTTAGAAACAGCAAATAATTTTTACTAAATGCATTACAATTACACGGATCGTTTGAATATAACCTAATTCAATTGTTATAAAATACTGATTCCTGTTTTCGTATGTCAAAATAACCATCGAAAGTACTAAACCTCTCATTATTTACAATTACCGTTTGTTAATGTCGTCATCGGCGGTCTGTTAAATCTCAGATCAAAGAGGTTTATGGGGAATTTGCAATGAAAAGAATAGAACATTACCGGCGATTCTTTAATTTGTTTTTCACTATTGGAAGCTTAAACAGGCCGCATCATTTAACCTTTTTTATTCATATATACTGACACACCTTGTTCTTTAAGGTCTATTACATCAGGTTAATCTTTTCACTAATTAATACAAGCTTAGATATGACTTAGTATTTTTCTGATTGACCGAACTGTACCTATATATTTCAGATCCATTAGTCAGGGTGAAAGACGTGGAAACTACTCCTATAGGAATATTGAGACACGGGTTTATTGGTGTTAACTCAGCGTGTGCTTGTTTCAGGCCGGATATTATAGAAATACAACCTTAGGCGAGTCAAGATTACCGATATGAAAGATGTGGGTAGGGAAATCAATAGATCATGAACATTTTGTTTTAACCGATCCTTGTATAGCAAAATGTTATTTGAAAACTAATATAGACTCAAGGAACGTTCCGGTGCAATAGTTTGATTCGAAAGGTACAAATGTTATATGTATACTCATTTAATTATTCTGTTCTACTAAACAAAATGTGATTTTGGTTTAATCTATAAAGACTATGAGAAGTTTGAACATAACGAATCCTTGGAGAAGAATTCTTAATTCTTAACCTGCTGAATTTGTGTTGTAAATTTGCTTTTTCTTTGTATTTGGAGCTTGTAAGACTGCACGGACATGCATGTATGCCTGACTCTACTCTTTACTGATGGGAATGGCTAATCACTTTTGTGTCAGCAGGTTAAGGATTAAATATATTGTTTCTTTTTTTATTTGCTGATTTTGTGTATAACATAAAAGTATTTTGTCTGTTGCCAGTACGAATCACTGAATAAGATAGACTACGCCAAAACATTACATTCTTTACCTTTAACAATGGGACATAATATAAGAAAAGGATTTAAGAAAATTATCGCAAACAGACAAATAATTAATGAAATCCAATATACAATGGTTAATATTTTCAATACTAGAATCACAGCCTTGATTTAAGCATATTTAGTTTTCAAATCACAAGACTACATTACGCCATAAAATTTACAAAATTTTAAACACATACCTCCATAGCAAGCATGTATTGCCCATCGTCCTGAGCATTTACCTGAAATATGAAAAAGATATATATAATAAATGATGTGAGTTTTATTTCTGTAATAAAACTGATACTTTTAACAAGCACGCTTTTATATAAGAATACGTTGAGATTCAGACTAGATTGAAATAATTGTCACCATCAGAGCGATGAAATACTCCTAAAATGTATAAACATATCAGTATTCCAAATAATTTTTTATCTGGTGTGTATACATTTAAGTTAATATGTAATCATTTCAATTACTATATACCATAGATAAAAATTGAAAACGGCTTCTTTATTAATTTTATTGAAATTTAAAGCAGTTTCTTCTTGTGACCAGTTCAAAACATAGCAATTTATTTTCTTTTCTGTTATTATTTCTACATGGTTCTTTCTCTCGGAAAACGCTTATTAAAATGTACATGTAAATTGATATGTTTCTAATGATGTGCCTATGACACGGTGATTTAGTTAAGACAAATATATCTACTTTTAGGGTTAAAAGTTCAGTTTCATATTTATAAAAGTATATAGAATCACATTGTTTATGTTTTGGAACGACGACAGTATCATATTAATGTAAATAATTATCGCTGAATAAAAGACAAGTCTTCATAACTCATTTTAGAGGACAATATACATGTACAAGATAAACAGTCTAAAAGAGTCATCTCAAGTTCTTGTGATTGATTTCATCAAAATGATATATTATAAAACAACATGTTTCTCTAATGGTATGATATGGTAGTTTTTGAGATAATTGTTTGATCAGTCAACATAAAAAAGATTGTTGACTCTTTGAGCGTTAAGTCAAAATATGACAAAACATAATGTTTTAAAAGAATATGTATTCTTTAACAAAATGTTCATAAAGCAAAGCCTACTACAATTTCCCGTCGCCCAGGGCGCCCAGAGGGACATCAAGAAGGAATAATGGGGGATAGAGTGGGCTCTAATGTAGGATGAGGAAGAGGAGGAGGAGGGGAAGGAGGAGGGAGACAATAAAAAATCATAAAATTAATAAATAACGATCCATCAATATAGTCCTGATCATTTTTCATCCATGATTTGAAATTTGTCAAATAATCATCTAAGTATGTACTTATAGTTATCGCAGCAGGATTTGCTTGTCATATTCTATAAGCATTTACAAAGCACTCGCCCGAGACGACCAGAGCCGGCGAGGGAAATATCATAATGTCTTTGTCAAAACGAGTTAGTGCCAAGAACGAAAGGATAATTAAGTTAGTTCATCGTATAAAAGATAATTCTATAGCAGAACTGCTCGTCTTTCTAGATGTAAAATATCTACTATACCCTAAACGCCTTATTGCCATTTGATTATCACTTTTGGGATTTTGTGTCACAAAGAAAGAGTAATATTTACGCCAAAGTATTGAACCAATTTGTAGTATTCCTCACTTTGTGTCAACAAATATTAAATTGTTTATTTGATCCAAGAGAACTTTTGCCTGAACTGTAATTCTATGAGGAGAAATAAATATTTTAAACATATCAAAAGATAAGACTAACTGGTCAATTTCAATAATTAAAATCCTTATTATTTGATGTATTTGATAAATGTCAATGGACAGGAATGTGTTGGGGTTTCATTTTCATTGAGAAACAACACATTCATTTGCTATTACAGTTTCATCTTTATTGAAAAGTATTGTCTTATTTCTCGATAATATATGGCTGCTCCAGTAACAACACTTTTATTGTTTAGCTATTCATAACGGTATTTTTAACAATTCTTTAAAGACCATTCTGTACTTATATTTTTATAATCATATGCAAAATTTATACATCTACCAAACTGAGTTAGGAAATGATAAACAGTTATTGATATATCGCAGTTAGATTAATACACGTTTAACAAAAGCATCTACAATTAATTTTGTGTTTATCTTGTAAACATTTTGAACGATTAATTATTATGTAATAATAAGTCAGTCAAGTTTGCAGTCATTGCAAAGTCTCTTGAGAAGTGAATATCAATTAAATATGTCTAAAAATAAATAAGATTTTCCATTTAACATAACGTCATTCCCATGAGTGGTTTTGCAATGTAATAACATTTAACAGTTACATAATAGAAACAAGAATTGTATTACTTGAAATACCATTGGGAACGAAAGTCATGAGAATACGCGTCTTTATAAATTTCTATACGTTGCGTAGCTATCATTTTAGGAATAAAATAAAGATAACAGACATTTTTCACGATCTTTTAAGGCTAATTGCATCTTTAAAATAGATAAAAGTATCTTAACATATACAGATTGACAAGTCTTCGGGTTGAATATCGAAGTTCTACCAATACGTAACAAACAGTTTGTAATAGTTTCTGAAGGCTTTGTTGATATTTTCAGTTTAAAAATCTGTTTCCTGAATAAAAAAAATACAACGCTTAAGTAAGGTCGGTGTTTGTACTCAAGGTGCCCGCTCGAGCGGTGTGGCACTGCGGGCAAGTCTCCATCACCATTACAGCTGATAAGTCACCGTATGACCTTTACCGTGCCAGTGTGACTCAATTAATCCAACATAACAATTATATAAAACTTTACTAAACGCGCTCTAGAATTTTCCTCGAGATGATGTTTAGCCCTTAACGGCTCATTAACAAATATAGATGTCGGCAACGAATATGGAAAGAAACAGCGTTTATTGTTCCGTCTCACTAACTACCTTATTGAATTTTAATGTCCATGCAAACACAATCTTAATTGCTTTGTGAAGATATCGTATACCCATGGAGGGATAATTGCAGTAAAAAAAGTTAATCTAAATGGGAAAAAAGCAACAACACAAAACTAAAAAAGTATCAAAAATATATATACTGTAAAGAATATACGTTAAAACTGATTACAATTGAAGAAGAAAGTTAAAACTTTTTTTGCAATTTAATCAAACTATGACTTTTAATATACATATTTTTCAATCATAAGTACATTTATAATAAGAACAACATTAAAAAAAATAAGAGAAGCAATTTCACCACAATATCAAACACAATTTTTGTTTGCGTGCTAATGTAATACTCTAGAAACGTTAGCAAAACGGAGTCGCAAAATGCTCTTTCTGTCTTTAATGGCTGGAACCGACAGTGATTTGTATTTGCTGCTAAATCTATGCAGCCTGACCATGCCCTATATTGTTGAGAGCTCAATGTTTATATTTTGATAGACAAAATCTTAATGTCTTGATGGACAGTCATAAAGTCAAAACTTGGCATTACTATTGCTTAAAATTTTGCAGGTTACACCGCCGTGGCCAACTATCACAAACATACGCCTTCATACATTGTGCATGTGAATATGGTAGTAGTAAATATTATAGAATGCCTAGGATTCTTTTGCAAAGACTTTATGCACAGAAATACTTTGAATGTAATAATTATTATGCCTTCAAAGCACCCATTTTTGCAATAATATAAAGTCAGACACAAAGTTTGGAAAAATCATTGATTCAAAAGGAAAAATATAGTGAATGGCAATTCGCCAAATAGGTAATGTAATATGTTCTTCGGTGAAATGATATGCTGCAAAGATTTCACTTTGATCAAAATTTAATTATATTTAACTTTACTATTATTTAAAAGTTATTTATTACATGCTTTTCGGTGGTTTATAGAAATATATCAGTGATATAAAACTGGTAATTTCACTGTTTGAAACAGTGAAATTACCACTTTGATAATTTCACTGTTTTGAATTTAAGCCCCTTACGTTGTTTCAGTGAAATAACAGCGTGCACAGAACTGGGTACCAACTTAATGACGTGACGTCGTAAATGACGTCACGTTTTATTATTATTTGGCGCGCTTTTTATTCAGTATTAGGTTTAATGTCTTTTTAAAACGTTTCTTTGCATATAATAAAAAGAAAATTTGTTTAGTTTAGTGTAAGATCGAAATATATTTCACCTTGTGAACACCAAAAGTTCATATTTCACTCGTGGCTGCGCCACTCGTGAAATATACCTTTTGGTGCTCACTCGGTGAAATATATTCAGATCTTACACTGAACTAAACAAATATCCTCTATATATTATGTTATCGCTTCACGGTTACTGTCATTCACTTGGACTATGATTTTACAGACGCCACTTTAAAATATGGCCACTATATCGTGTCTATTTATTTCTTTTCCCAGGAGTGTCAATACTTGATTGTTTTTACCAATAGAACTGCCGTAGTTATACTGAAGATGTTCTAAATATGCAAAATTTTAATCTTCAGTAAAACCAGGCTTCAGAAATACCTACTTTTTTTTATTAAAATGCATCTTAAATTGACGTGGTATTACTTGTTAGGACAAACGGTTTTTTGCAGTATATAAAACATATATTATAGAAAAAATGTATACCACAAAGAACGCCCTAAATAACACATTTTAAGTGTTGCAGGCTCGATTTGAATGAGCATGTTTAAACCAGTTACTACATGATTTTATCATTTCTATTTTGTAGTACCAAATTTATTTTACATGACAGTCGTTCATTTGCTATCTGAGTAACCTATGGAATACCCACGTATTTATGTTGGAAATGTTTCCAATTACGTTGGTAAATTTTTACGCTATATAAATGTATACGTCACATTGATGTTAACTAATACACCAGTCATCGTTCAATTGATATTGAAATAAATTATTGTTTGCTCGAAAAAAATACAGTAGTTTACGGCTAATAAAGGAAATTACTAAATTTGACATCCATAATAAACAATTAAGCGAGCTTCATTTTTTGAATAATTTGTCAGCCAGCCTCACCATCTTACTGAAATGTGTACGAATGATTGATTTTCACGATAAAATGTGCATAATTTTATGGAAAAGACCGTAACGCTGCCGGAAATTGCTTTCAATTTTACGCATAAATCCCTGTTATTTTCACGACCTTACTTTAATGGACATGGCGTATTTAGTAAAAAGGTGTGCTGCGTATGGACACGTGTTGAATTGGTAATTAAACATTTTCATAAACCCATCACACCACAAATAGAAATATGTTATTTAAAAAATATGATTAATTATTATACGTCGCCAAATATGACGCATTTCATATATTTCGTTTCATATAATCAGCTTAATTGCAAAAGAAGTAAAGTCAGACAATGTACTGTTCAAAAATAATATCTGGTTGGCTTGTCGAAACATATAAAATTAGCTTATTCAGTTGTCGTCGATGTGAGTGTCTTAAATAGTTTATGACGAGGTATCGATCGTACTTTTGTTAATAGTGATACCTAATAACACCTTATATAATCTTAATACCCTGTTGAACTAGATTATAAATTAATTACAAAGACAGTGGTTCCATGTCTAATACGATTCTTTATTATTTTAATTAAAAAATAATGACACGCGACGTTCAAAACAAGTGAGAAAAAGTTAAATATTAGGTAAAACAGTCTCATTAATAACCGCACAAACTTTTGGGTAATTAACATAAGTGCGCAAGTGATAATTTAAAGCTAATATTTTATGGTAATATAAAATGTTAAAACCTAAGCGGTTAAAAAATGCGTTAACCTAATATTTGTAGAATTGCACCAAAATTTACCCATTTTCGCGAATTTTGAACACACTAGAGGATGATTGACGTCATCCGTGACGCCATCTACGTTGCCGCGATACAAAGGAACGTCAGTTTTTACTTGCATATATGTTGCTTTGTCAATTGACATTAAATGATTTATTTATATTCAATATTTAATTTTCTCAAAAGTTTGGGCCAAAATCGACCCAAAACGTACCTAGCCTTTTGTTCGGCGCTAGCAGCTGGAAAATTCAACAAAATTATAATGCCCTAGTTGTCTTTAGTGACTACATAAGTCTCGGAAATGAAAGATTGTTGCATGCAAGCGCCAGTCACTGTGGTCATAATTTGCAAATAATATGACTTTTATTGACTACACGCTACCAATTAAGAAGCTCCGTATTCTATAGCTCGACGTAAGCAGTAGAATGTTTTTATGGTTCTCTGTTTGCCCAATTGATATCAAAGTCGAGTTATATTGATAAATTGTATGGAAATTATGAAGAATTGGGTTCTTTATTACGACAATGATGCAAGTGAATTATTCATTATTATTCATTATGTCATATTTTGTCGTTACGATATTTGCAAATAATATATGAAAATACACGCATGAATCAAATAGATAAAACATCCTTAGACAATATATCTTATACAATATATTGTAACCATGTGAACATGATAGGAAATGTTATGAGTATTAGCCTAAAATACAATATGATACAGATTTTATAACATTTACTTTGTTTTTCTCACACATACAAATTAATATGCTTGATTTCAGTCCATGCACAAAATGAAATAAATTGTAAAATTATGTAACTGAAATTTCATTTATTATCCAAATGTTATTGTATTGACAAGGTATTGTAACAAGAGTATTAAAGCTTTTTTTCATCTTCTTTAAAACAAATAAGACCAATAATTGTTAATATAATTGAAAGATCGCAGTAAGTCGCACAATAAAAAAATACATGTTATAAACATTGTAATTGGAATACCAAAATTCCAAATGTTTTATGCTTAAAGAGAAATTTTCCTTTTACAATTCGATAAAATACATTTGCTTTCCAATAAAAAAAAATTATAAACTTCTTTTTTCTTGAGAAGTTGGCAAAAAATGTTTGAAAACATTCTTTATATCACTAAAAAATTAAGGTTTTGTCAATGTTTTTCAAAAATCGTAAACTTTAAATATCATTTTCAGAATATTTTATATTCATAGAGTCGACAAATAAATTCCAGATTTTAAATATTGATTGCATGTATATGTATTGTAAAGTGGCAAAATAAATATTACTTATTTGTTTTCTTAAAGGATGTTTTACAACGAGATTAAAACCAGTAAAATGATATGGTTCTCGAAAACTGTTATTTAAACATATAAAATTCATTGATGGATTTTCGTTGAATTTTTATTTAAAAATATTATCCAACATGACTCTTGGTTTTTCTTTATTTGATAATGTGGAGGCACAAACTCGTTATTTTCAGGAGTAATTTGTCCATTAGTTCTGCAAATTCCTTAACAGATTACTCCTTGCGCATTAATTTTATTCAACAATATGAAGGCGTGACTGGAATTTTTTAGTTGATGAACGAAGTAAACAGATAGTAAAAAGTAAAAAGAAAAAGAAAAAGAAAAAATCCAAAACAAGGATATTTTCTCCCACATGCCCGTCTTCAATTTTGCAGAAATATTTAACTCATATATGCTCAGCGTGGAAAGTAAAATAATCTTATTTGCTGAAAAACTAACAAAGTTACAATCATGCGACTATTTTCTGAACAAGCTTTTTGACTAAAGTAATAAAATCCGCAACAAGCAATTCTCATGAAGTATCAAGTTTTAGCAAAATTCAAGAACTAAATAGAGACACAATCGATTAAATGTTTGCATTAAATATATATAAAACTCATCGCAATTTTTTTCTTCATAAAGTAAGGACATAAAAAGTTGTTTTTATACATACCATAAACTGTTGTAAATGTACAGGATATGTATACACACACTGATACAGCAAGAAATGCGAACGTCGTCGACTGCATTTTTATAAAGAAAAAAATCACTACACTATAATATAAAAATAAAATATATTGATATCGTAATAATATTCCGAAACAAAGTCCAAACTCTTTCTTTTTTCAAGCGTTTACAATACGAAAAAGATCCAGAAATGAAAAAAAAATATCTTTAGTGTTAACTGTCGTCGATAATAATGAAGCTAAAGTCTATAAAGTAAAGCTATTTTATATATTTTCTGGCACTAAAGAAATATTATTCTATACACGTCACAATCTCGAGAACGAATCATAGTGTTCAACACCAGTTGATTATAAAACCCCCGCAGTTCGATACCAAGTGACTGTCACTAGTACTCGATAAGCTAAGTATCAGCTAGAAGTGTCAGTGAATATTAGACTCTCCCTTAACAAGCCAAGTCGGTTAATATCGCCAACCAATACAGATCATTGCCGATAAAACAAATAAAACTAACAAACAATTACCGATCATTTTTAATACAGATTTACGCTTGGTGTGTTCTGTAAAGATTAAAGTATTACAAAATAATAAAAAAACACATCAAATACGTATTCAACAGTGCTCATATTTTGTTTTTGAAATAGTCAATAAAGGATGGTTAATAAATTGTTTCATTTATAAAGATTGTTTGTCAAGAAATACAGTTATGATTAGCACCGGGAAAGGTGACGAGATCAAAGAATTAATTAAAGGGACGAATAGAGCAAAACTGGAAATATAAATTGAAATGCCTGAAAGAAATATACTCATTCGAACATATTTTCATTTGAATATCTGAAGAAAAAAAAACTAATTTCATAGTACAGAAATTCTGAAATGAACTCACAAAGAACATGATTTAGACAAAATAAGCTGTCATTGTAAATAAAATCGGATGAACAAAAGCAATTTCATTACCAAGATCTATGTGAGTGGATAATGATTTTAAGAATGATATAAATATAGAAAAATAATGTTACTGATGAATCCTCAAAGGATTAAAGATAATGACGCTGCAAATTTGAATTTAGAACCATATCATGAAAAGAGAATTCAACTGAACATGCAGCAAACATGGCAGAAAAATGTTTTATATGGCATTTGAAAATTCATTGAAATAAACAAATAAATAAATAAATAAATAAATAAAAATAAAATGAATAATTAATTGATTAATTAACAACGAAGAGATAGAGGCATATGTTGATGAAAATAAAATGTTTATGATTAATAAATATCAATACTAATAGTATATAGAAACCGATCTCAGTATAACACTAAATACAATGGTTGGGTTTTAAGTCATACCGGCTCTGACCATAAGGCGACTTTTAAGATTTTCTGGCGGAAGAAAAAAATTTATTATGACCATCCGTGTATCATTTCATGGACAGGCACGATCCCTAAATAGAGAACATCGAAGTTCCACAATATTCTTGGATCTACTACTTCTACCACCACCACCACCACAACCACAACCACCACTTAAAATAATAATAATAATGATGATGATGATGATGATGATGATGATGATGATGATGATAATAATAATAATTATTATTATTATTATTATTATTATGATAATAATAATCATGATAATAATATAAAATCGAAGCAAATTTACATTAATATATTAAAGAAAGATATATTTACATAAATATGGTCTTATTCAAGTTGAATTTGATTAACATCAATTATAAATTTACATTGACGAAAATAACAAAAAATAACGGTACAACGATTTATTGTTTTATTCATTTTCAAAGAAACGGATTCCGTTGTTGTTTTTAGATTATTATACAAAAACAATACATACATTACATTTTGGCAGATATAATCATGAAACATAATGTGACTTAGATAATCTTTCAATGAAAATTCAATGGAACAAAATCTTCTTTTTAATATCAAAGGTATTGACATTTTCTTCGTATCATGTACAATGAGTTACAGAGGTGGTAAAGATGTATTGTTTTTATATTTTTCTTCAAGTCCCACAAGAACAATGGAAATTGAATTGAAAGTCTTTTCCTCGTTTGTTACAACTCTTTGTAATGAAGGAAACGGTAATGTGTTTTCTATAAATTAGAATCCGGATTTCGTTAAATTACATTAAAGGACATGAATTTTTGTGCGTAGTTGAAAAAAAATTGTCAGTTGTTTTCAATTCAAAGTTTTCGTTGAAATATTGAAATGGGAATCTGAAAGGTTGTAAAGATGCAAATGTTACAGGAATTGGTTGGTTTAATTGTTTTGATTTTTATTTGTTTATATTGATTATTTCATTCATGTTAACTTTATATGCTTAAATGCCTGATTTTTTTCGTAGTTTGTATAAAAACATTCAAGTCAACGACATTGGAGGTTTATGCACGCTTCATAACCATTGATCCTCTTACAAATTCCATTATGTTTAGTTCCGCCCCTTATCTTCCTCGGTCAGTGCACACATATTATTCACGTGGGGACCATACGCCGCCGCTTTCTATGGAATGGCAGGAACGTATCACATTAAAGGTAACATGATCACCGCCGTATGAACACATCTGCGGATGATGCTAAATTCAAAATTACACCATTTTCATGTTTAAATTTTGAATTCTGCTTATCCCGGTGCTAGGAGGCATGGCGAAACATGCATTTACCACTTCTGCACATGAAACACCTTGTGATAGTGATAAAGGCATTTTTATTTTACGAATACGAAAATTTATTTCAGCTTTCAACTAGTTAATACAATGTTTATAACCTATACAAATCTTTAGTTCAGTGTTAACAAAAACATAGAAAGCAACAATAACAACAACAACAACCCCAAAAAACAACAACAACAAAAAACCCACAAAAACAACAACAGTTACACCAAAAACAATAATAAAATTCAAGTTTTACTAGTATTAGTCTTACAGTTATCAGAAGAAATTTTTTTGTAAAACGTAATTTTAATTTTAAAATAATGGAAATATCGTAAGGAATGATGAATGCACTTATACGAGTAAATGTATCATTACACATATATAACTCTAATGAAATATTAACAGTATTTTTCTGCTTCTTATGACAAATAATAAAATTCTTTTTTATTTGCAATTGCCAAGTAAACAAATTTAGTTCAATATATATTTTGTAGAGATTATTGACAAAGTTTGTATTTTGTTTGGTCACAATCATAAAAATGTAAATCATAAAAACATATATTTTCTAATTTCTAGACGACTTACAACCATTTTCATAAGTAGTTGCATTGTTACATAAGCGTTTACATAAATGAAAGATAGTATTCATTATTTTTCTTTTTGTATCCATTTAGAGAAAATATCGTCAATGACGCAAATATTCATTGCGAACGTAAAAACAATACACTTTGCAAATATTTATATAATAGTCACTCTAACTTGAGATATTATCGATATGCATTTGAATCGTTACAAAAAGTCTGCATACAAATGCTGGTCACATCAATGACTTCCCACCAGAATAAATATGATACGTTATGAAATACCTCTATCACTGAAACAATTCAGTTGTTATTCTAAAGATATTTCGTCAAATGATACATGTTTGTACTTTTGCTACATAAAAAACGTTTACGCACGCTGTAACAAATTCCAAATTCCAAATGTCATATGTTCAAGCTTTGTGAGGGCCGGTCATTTTAATGTGTCACTGATGCGCATCAATGGTGTGTGGTTTTAAGAACCACGTGGAAATTGTGGTTTGTCACGGAGAAGAGTTCATATATAAAGACACGGAAGTTTGTTTGATTTTGTGCAATTTTTTGAAAGTTATTGAAAATCTAAATGTATGTAATCATTTGCACTAGCTGCAAATTCAATGAAAGCCAAACTTTGAATGAAAGGCCTATATTAAATTTCGTGTTTGTCTGAAATTATCAGCTTCACAGATATGATGAATTGTATCAGGTACTTGGGCCTCTGTGTTGTCTATCAGTTGATCAGTTTGGCACAAAATATGAGACATTCTGGATTTTTTAAAAATAAACTGAATACTTAAAATATGTCAAAAAACGTTTTTAAGTGATCATGATAATTCAAAATGATTTATATTCATTCAATGTCGAGTTTCAAAAATAAGATATATTAAAACTGTATCAAGCGTGTGTCATAAAAAGATTAAACCTTATATAAGCAGTGGTATCCTGAACAAATAAACTTTTGTTGAACGCAGAATATTTAGTAATCACATAATTTAACACTCTATTTGGATTAAATAATGAGGTATATCTAAAGCACAACTCGTTAACAACAAACTTATTTTTGAGTTGTTATTGGCATTATGTCATGGAATATTTACTTATAATTGCCACTGTTCACAATTTAGTTCCTTTGAGTACCATCAACACACTCGTAGTGATAACTTATCTCATAGATTTCTCGTAAAATATTATGCAATACACTTACTGTTTGTTATAAAAGTTTATTGATACACATTAGGAGCATTGAGGGATACAATCATTATTGCGTCTGCATAAACTGATGCTCCTAAATACGATTCCTTCGCAGCTGCATTTAAAAATCATAGCAGATATTGAATAGCTAGACCATGATCCTATTGTAGCTTATTGACTTGTACATATTTCTCGGACATGTTGGATGTAAATAGTTATGAACATATAAAGTCAAATCATTAAAATTATCTTGTTAGGCCCTTGTAATATCATTATCAATTATTTAATTATTCTTTATGAAAATAAAACGAAGTATTGTTTTAATGTATAATATTCTATCTCGTTTCATATTTTGTAATAAACTCAGGAAATTTTAACTTATTGCGTACATAACCAGCATCCTTCTGCTATCATAAGTTTGATAACTTTCCCCTTTTCATGTTTTGTTACTATGTTACCTGTCAATGCATTTTGCTCTAAACATTGTGTAATTCTTATTGCAAACAAACTGTATTGTAGTGAAAATGAATTTTGTGAAATATGAAGAAGGACATTGTTATATTACACTAAAATAAACGATGTCGCGTGATACATGTTTGTAATGTAACAGGACCTTATAATTATTATTTCTTGATATTATAGTTATCAGCTACATTCAAGGAAATCTATTAATATTTAAAAGAAAAACAATCATTAATTCAGTTTTCAGCAATTTTCAATTTCATTTTAAGTTTATTGACAAAACCAACGGAAACAATTGCCTTTAGCCATTTGCAAAATATTCGTGTGAAGTTTGGCTTTACTAAATAATAACATAAAACAATGATTTTGTTCGAAAATTATTTATGAGTATTTTACAAATTGTTGTAGTTCCTTTTCTTACTGGGTTATGGTATTTGAACACATTAATCTAGTGTAAGAAGAAATGATCAAAATGTTTATAATTACCAAACATCTTAACATCGTTAATGTTACCAGAAT